AATGCACGCCTTAGCTTATTAGGCTGAGGCGCATTACTAATCTATAATAAGATATTTAAAACAGAGTAAATAAATAAGTAAATAAATAAAGCGGAAATAGATATCATGGTTCAGCTTTATTTATTCATCTATTATTTAATAAGGTGTAGCCTCCCCTTATTTAGGTAATCCCCAAACAAATGAAAATCAATTGTGCACAACCAGGGCTGTGGGCACCACAAACGAAAACACGACAGACTGTACACGCGCGGCAACAGCCGTGACACGCGCACACTCGCTGATGCTGGTTGTTGGCTGCTGGCTGATAGCTGCGTAGCGTAGCCCATTTAGGCAATATAGCTGGCTGCAGCTGCTGGCTGGTTAGATAACGCTAGCTACCATCCACAAAACCCAGCGACGACAATAAAACCGGCCGGTCACCACCAACTGTCCACCAACTGTCCACCAACTGGATCAACATCTGCCAACCTCTTCCAACCAAACATATCTCCAACGGACAACTTCCACCATGACAACCATATTTCTCGACCCGATCCTCCATATCTTTGGACTCCCTTATTTTCCTGCTTTGAACTAGTCCTTCCGTTTGCAACGAATGTCGTGGTTTGAGCAAGGATGTCTCCCTTTTCATCCTTCTTTTGTGCATGGTAGGTTTGAAAGCAGAAAGGTGGCAGCAATGCCAGAGGTGAAAAGCCGTAGCGGCGGCAGGGGAGGGAAATGCACCGCAAGAACAGCAATTTGCTGTAGCGATGAGAGGAAAGGAAAAAGGCCGCGGTGGCAGCAATGCCAGAGGTGAAAAGCCGCAGCGGCGGCAGGGGAGGAAAGTGCACCGCAAGAACAGCAATTTGCTGTAGCGATGAGAGGAAAGGAAAAAGGCCGCTGTGGCAGCAACGCCAGAGGTGAAGAGCAGCAGCGGCGGCAGGGGAGGGAAATGCAGTGCAAGGACAGCACAAAGGCTGTAATGTCAGATGTGACGGTGACGGCGACAGCACGAGAAGGCTACGGTGAGAAGGTGACTGCGAGACGCCGACGGCAACCTCGCCGAAGGCAAGAAGGCGACAGCACGAGACGGCGACGGTGAGACTCCGACGGCTAGGCGCCGTCGGCGAGAGGTCGACGGCGACCTCGCCGAAGGTGAGAAGGCGACGCGATGGCGAGACGCCGGCGGCCGGCGAGAAGGCGAGGCGAGGCGCCGTCGGCGTTAGGGCGACGGCGACCTCGCCGAAGGTGATAAGGCGACGCGATGGCGTGGCGCCGGCGGCCGGCAAGAAGGCGAGGCGAGGCGCCGTCGGCGTTAGGGCGACGGCGACCTCGCCAAAGGTGAGAAGGCGACGCGATGGCGAGACGCCGGCGGCGAGACGGCGACGGTAATGAAAATGGCATGACGGTGACGGCTGAGGGGGATCCGGGGATTCGGGCGGGGATTACGTGGTGACATACACACTACAAGGCGGTTTCGGAGTGGCCGAATTGACAACAGATTCCAACGAAACGCAAGACATGGAACCAAACGACCCCTCGACCATGCCATGCCATCATGCATACCACAACAAAGGGTTGATGTTGCAGATTGATTGGTAGTCGGCAATACAAATCCGGCATCCCAAATCCGACATGCTATGGCAAAGCGTTGCAAGACGGCATGGGGACGTGTGAAACGAGGCCCCTCTCGTACTTACATTCTCACCCATGACGGCGATGTACGGCGGTGGCGACGCCTGTGATGCTCGTCGCGCCGATACGTGTTGTCCTGTTGGAAGTCCTCGCCCAGGCTCGCTCAGACCGGTGGCGGGAACGGGCGGGAGGTGGGCGGGGAAATACACACACACACACACACACACACGCTGTTAATCAGCTAGCAGGGGACACAACGAGCACAGACTTTGCACAGCAAAACGACATGGGCAGTTGTGCACAATATGCAGAAACGTACTAATACGCACACGGGCACATCGCGGGCAGTTGGGAATTCTCCATCACAAGTAAAAGCAGTAGCACCCTCACACATACACATACGTATACGCGTGCGCGCATGCACACACACACACACACACACACACACACACATACACCCTCTTACACACACCTACATACACTTACACACGCACACGCGCGCGCGTGAGCACATTCTCGCCCACATTTGAACAGATACCTACATACATACATACAAACATACATACATACAATTGCGCACAAATACAAGACACTGAAGACCGCAACAATAACCATCGGCCGGCTTTGCAGCTTCTATCTGAGTTTGCTGACCTTATCTTTGCAGTTTGCTGCCTTTGTGCTTTTGCTGTCGTTGTCGCTGTTGCTGCTTGCCGGCACGACAGGAGAAAAACACCGCGCCACGAAACACCCACAGCAAGAAACTTTGCTGCGAACGTATGTACGACATCACTACATCACGAACGGACACAAAGTGGCACCCACGCAGTGAACATACGGGGAAAGACCTTCATGCCGTACTCCCTACACGCCGCACCTTACCAAGGTACAACAATTTCATACCGAAATCCCCCTCTGTCACCAACTCGTCTATCCATTTGCAACGCGCCTTCACCCATAGAATCCAAGAACGATGGCCGACCTTGATACGACGTGTAACGGCCTCACGGCCGGAAATCTAGGCGCGTTCTAACGTACGACATGTACGGGCGACCGTGCATCCGGTGTCACTCACCGGCACCGGAAGACGATGTGAGCTTGACTGCGTTGATTATAAGCGTTGACAACGGTGAGACTCCGACGGCGAGGCGCCGTCGGCGAGAAGGCGACGGCGACCTCGCCGAAGGTGAGAAGGCGACGCGATGGCGAGACGCCGGCGGCGAGACGGCGACGGCGAGAAGGCGAGGCGCCGTCGGCGTTAGGGCGACGGCGACCTCGCCAAAGGTGAGAAGGCGACGCGATGGCGAGACGCCGGCGGCCGGCGAGAAGGCGAGGCGAGGCGCCGTCGGCGTTAGGGCGACGGCGACCTCGCCGGGGATTCGGGCGGGGATTACGTGGTTACATACACACTACAAGGCGGTTTCGGAGTGGCCGAATTGACAACAGATTCCAACGAAACGCAAGACATGGAACCAAACGACCCTCGACCATGCCATGCCATCATGCATACCACAACAAAGTGTTGATGATGCAGATTGATTGGTGGTCGGCAATACAAATCCGGCATCCCAAATCCGACATGCTATGGCAAAGCGTTGCAAGACGGCATGGGGACGTGTGAAACGAGGCCCCTCTCGTACTTACATTCTCACCCATGACGGCGATGTACGGCGGTGGCGACGCCTGTGATGCTCGTCGCGCCGATACGTGTTGTCCTGTTGGAAGTCCTCGCCCAGGCTCGCTCAGACCGGTGGCGGGAACGGGCGGGAGGTGGGCGGGGAAATACACACACACACGCTGTTAACCAGCTAGCAGGGGACACAACGAGCACAGACTTTGCACAGCAAAACGACATGGGCAGTTGTGCACAATATGCAGAAACGTACTAATACGCACACGGGCACATCGCGGGCAGTTGGGAATTCTCCATCACAAGTAAAAACAGTAGCACCCTCACACATACACATACGTATACGCGTGCGCGCATGCACACACACACACATACACCCTCTTACACACACCTACATACACTTACACACGCACACGCGCGCGCGTGAGCACATTCTCGCCCACATTTGAACAGATACCTACATACATACATACAAACATACATACATACAATTGCGCACAAATACAAGACACTGAAGACCGCAACAATAACCATCGGCCGGCTTTGCAGCTTCTATCTGAGTTTGCTGACCTTATCTTTGCAGTTTGCTGCCTTTGTGCTTTTGCTGTCGTTGTCGCTGTTGCTGCTTGCCGGCACGACAGGAGAAAAACACCGCGCCACGAAACACCCACAGCAAGAAACTTTGCTCCGAACGTATGTACGACATCACTACATCACGAACGGACACAAAGTGGCACCCACGCAGTGAACATACGGGGAAAGACCTTCATGCCGTACTCCCTACACGCCGCCACTTACCAAGGTACAACAATTTCATACCGAAATCCCCCTCCGTCACCAACTCGTCTATCCATTTGCAACGCGCCTTCACCCATAGAATCCAAGAACGATGGCCGACCTTGATACGACGTGTAACGGCCTCACGGCCGGAAATCTAACTAACGTACGACATGTACGGGCGACCGTGCATCCGGCGTCACTCACCGGCAGCGGAAGACGATGTGAGCTTGACTGCGTTGATTATAAGCGTTGACAATGGGGGTCCTTGCTTCACGCCGACGCAACATCGCACTGGGGTCTTGGAGATTTGAAAATGTGATGTACGCAGAGATTCTCGTTGCCAGGTGGAATGCGGTCGATCTGGAAGGTCTTGGGCAACTCCAATGAGCAGTCGTCTCTGTCGCGAGGAAGGTCACGGACATCGGACGAAGTGGTCATGTCTCGCCTAACGACGTGTACTTTCCTGCCAGACCGCCTAGCTTTCAGCCTTCGTAGGCTCCTTACACAGCTAAAGCACAACTGTCGGGATTACGCTCAAACGCCGCATACGCCCATATTCTTGCAGCAGAGCGCTGCACAAACACATGCCCGTCGAAAGCCCGTCGACAAAGCCCCTTATGTTTCAAAGATCCATACACAAGCTCGAGAAGCAAACATATCACCTCAAAAAAATGAGTTGCCGCAAGTCGCACCTTGCCCTCACAAATGAGTCAGGCAATTCGATGTCCGTGAAGCGGCGACGCTGTGCCTGAAGCAACGTCAGCAGGGGTTCTATAAATAAATGCTTGAGATAACCGCGTAATAAATTAGAGCAATGGAACTGAAGTGCGGCGGCTACAGCATGAAGGTTTTGCAACGAACAGTACCTTGCAAACGTTTGCAGGGTCCACAGCAGCTTCTCAGGGCGCCGCGCAGCTGTTCAGGCTTCCTCATTTGCTGGTCATATGTAGGAAGCTAGCAGCTTTTACGGACGCACCAGAGCTGGAACAGGCCGAAAAGAAGGGCTCAAACGTTGGGTGAAAGTCTGTGATCAAATATCGGACGTTGTGCACATTTGCTAATGGAGCTGGAAGTGCTATGGGAGGTGCCTTTTGTCAGAGGCCAGTTAAATTGTACGGCGCAACAGCTGCAAATCCAAGTGTGTTGGAAAGGTGCAGTTCGGCGAACTCACTTTGTCGACAGTTAGCCTATTAAACTTTTATATTATAGCTGTATGTCACTGCATTATCACGTTCACCTCCGTTCCTCTGCACC